TATCTTAAAGCAAGCCCATATCAATTTATCGGATCCACATTCAGCTCTTGGTCTAGTTTTTACGTTTGTAAAACAAGTCTTCCATCTGTTTCTAATCAATATATAGTCGATTTTCTTCTTGTATTCTCCATTTAGGCTGGTCCACGTCGATAAAAGACGGGCATGATGTTTGAACATTGTCTAACGCGTCTGAGGTTGGCATATAGTCGTGAAGAATATGCATTATGTTTGGTGATGCTAGTAAGGTTACTTTCATAAGTCTATCATTTATCGGTTGGTAATCTGGTAATCACACACGTATTTTTTGCCATTATAGATTTGGCAAAACCATGGCAGATACTTAAAGATGTAGGCGTACCACAACATTTAATTCCGCTTATAACTGAACTATACGAACACACTACTGGAATAGTTGAAGTGCTTGACACACTTTTAAACGAATACCATTAAAAACAAGGTGTCAGACAAGGATGTATTTTGTATCCACAATTATATATGGGTACCATATTATGAGAAGAAAACTTAATAATAAATGTCCGAATATAAACAAACAACCTACGTTTTGCAGATGACACAGCACCTAATACCGGTTTGAGGTTGTGAGCTCATACTTATATCTGGGATTACTGATTACAAACACAGACTTATCTTCTTCTTAGAGTGTCGTCTTCCTACGGAGGTTGGCAATCATAATGGCTATTTTTATTTTAGAACTTGCTGCTCTAAACAAACAATATATGCACAGACCTATGCTTGAGTTAAAAGACATGACCAAGGACAGAAAGAGTCTTTGGAAACAGACAATTCACAACATTATGATATCTACTAGACTCCTGCCGAGTATCAGGACTGAAGATAGAATATAACTAGTTGTTTGTGATTTTGGTAAGCCTAATCACAACAATTACTATTTATAACTGGGAACATATATATATAGCTTATATAGCTTCAGAACAATAATCACAACAACATATCAAACCCAACGTCATACTGCCTTCATACACAAATTTCCATCCCATTAACATCCGATAAACGATCCAATATAAAAAATACAAATTCTGCTTCAGATCTTATTCAGTTAGTACCTCTGCAAAATTACCTTCTTCCTGTGCCTTCTCGTAGAAAACTAATCATCATGCCTTCTATGTCCAATACTTTACTGTTTGATTACATCAGTAATAGGTAGAATTGATGCTCCTAAAAACGTACAGTTCATATCTAGAATCTTCTATGCCCGCCCATCTGTATTTGTCTCTAATGTAAGCCCATCACTTCCTCGTCCTATAATTGAAAAATTACTCCTGGATCTAAACTTAATACTTACCTCTTCTGTTCCTAACATTAAATGTGGAATAACAGATTGACAAATTATTACAAAATAATCAATAAAAGAAGTAGTAATTTCATCTTTTATTAGGGATTTTTTAGATTAAACATCATTTTTTGACTATCAAGTGTTTTTATAACTTTCCTACTTTTTTTAAATGGTATATATAGGTCGTTCATTACTTGTATCTGCTTTTTTTAACTGGATTACTATACAACAGATATTATATCTATAAAAGCGGTATAAGTATCCAAAAAGTGTGCTCTGTCTACATTATTATGTAGCAGAACTTAGACAAGGAATAGTAGCAGAACATATAAAGCTGACTGATAAAATATTACCCTGTCAATCAGTACACTTGTCACTTTGGATTAACTTGTCAATATTTTGATTATTTACTCCATCATAAAAACTATTTTTTATCTAAACACAAGCAGTATATTATTTTACTAATTATTAGTATAATAGAAACGATATAGGTGATTAGAAATTCAAAAATATTAAAGCTTATTTAAGATTGAATATCCACATATTTAATTACCGTAAGTAATTTAGTAATATTATTATATATTTTTTATTTAAACAAAACGGATAAATGTAGGAGAGGTTAGGAATGCAAGGCTTTTAATAAGCCTTTTCTAGGAGTGGAGTCCGGTTTGGATTTGGTTAAGGAAGGTCGTCTCATTGTAAAAATGATTGGTTTCCCGGTTCTTGCCCTACATGTTTTGAAGAGGTCTTTAGCTTGTCCTATGTTATGGATCCTCTGCTATCATCAATCCATCTATGAGTGGATTTGTGCTTTATTTTATAGATATGTTTAAGCACGACGTTTTTACATTAAAAATAAAACACAATTTATTGATCAAGTAAATCAGCCACAGAGTGTAACGTAAAATGGAAGGTGGAGCAGAGCAGGAGTTGGAGAGCTCCCAAAGTGTAGACGACGCTATGTCGAATCCCATGAAGAATTGATTCGGACTATTAACCTGACTTAACGACGACCTAGTTTAGGCGTTATGTCTCTTCAAGGTATGGCTTTTTTTCTGAGAATGGGGTTTTGTTCAGTAAATGCCTTGTTTTATTCCGCTTTGTTGTGCAATTTGTAGAGCGGGGCGCTAAATCTGCAACTAAATCAAAAGTTCTTTGGATAACAAACGGTTTCTTCTGTACAAATTATTACTTAACTATAAGAGTTATATATATATATATATATATATATTAAATATTTATTTAATAGGTGCTGGTTGTATAATTTTGTGTGTGTATATGTAAATTATGATTGTACTATACCTTTGGTGATATATGCTTTTTTCTCTCACCAGTGTGCTGAACTGTAAACTTTTATGACTGAATTGCGTCGAATCATACTGGGGATGCATGATTATACGAACATAAGGCGTTTCTCATGCTTTGGTTAAACGAATACTAACTATTAGGGCGGTGTCTACAAAACTGTATTAGTTGCGTAACGTAAACACACCCAGACGTTAATTAAAGTAAATATGATAAGAAATAATTAATAAAACGCTTAATGAGAAGTAATACAAAAAAAATGTGTGTGGGTGGACAAAACACCTTCCGTAATTTTTAAAAATTTTTTAGTAAACGCGTGGAGGTTAGCGGTGACTACATTCTCATCTAGAACAGGTATTATTGTGCAATGAGATTGGACAATTACAGAAAACCAATCTCCCCCTAACCTTTGTCTATTGAATCAGCGACTCTTACGGAATGAAAGTGATTCGAGGGAATTTATTTTAGCATGTGGTTGGTACTTCGTAGTTGAATTGTGGATGGTGGTTGATGAGTGAGCGCTCTCAGAATATTGGGAAGTGTAACAGGAGTTAGTTTCGGATTTGCGTAAATATTTGGTTGATTGTATTGTTGTACGTCGACGTAGCTATGGAGTGTCTGTACATGACGTGGAAATCTCGTTAGAGCGATGTACAACGTTGTACCTTGTATTTGAAAATACGTTAAGAATAATCATCATTATCATCATCATCATCATCATCATCATCATCATCATCATCATCATCATCATCATCATCATCATCATCATCATCATTATCATCATCATCATCCAGCTTTCTTTTATCACGTCCACTGCTTGACATAGGCCTTCCTTAAACTCCTGCATTCCTTACGATTTTATGCTTTTTGTTGTCAATTTTTGGTCATACGCCTGATGTAGTGAGCCCAACGTGTAAGTGGTCTTCCTCTACTACGTTTGTCTGCTCTTGGCCTCCAATTGTGAGTCGTGCATTTTAGCTACATGACCTGCCCAGTTCCATTTCAGTTCCGCTATGCGTTCCACAATATCAGGAATGCTCGTCCAAAAAGGATCATAGACATGAAGTATATTAGCTACTTGTCTGTAGTAAGTCCGTGAATGGGATTTTATTTAGGGGTGGTCACGGATTGAATGCGATGCGGAAAGGTTGGTGGAGCTTTTCTTATGGGACATCTGCGAGAAAAAACAGGATTATTACCTCGTCAGTTTAGGCATGTTGGAGCATTTGTAGTGAAGATTTGTGTTGTCCACAATTGGTATAATTTTTTTTTTGAACTCATAGGTATGGACGGCAATGTTCATTTTTGAAACATGCAATACTTTAGAAAGTGCTTTAGCGAACTTAGTTTGAGAGTTCATGAATACATGAAAATATAGGGCAGTGATTCTCAACCTCTGTGTCGCGCCTTACTAGTGGGGGGTGGGGAGGCATGAGAATATAAATATTCTGACAAAATAAAAAATAAAATATACATGAACACTTACTTACTTTATCGTGTCTGGTCATTCATAAAATTTCGACCCAGTATAGGGCTACGTCAGTTCCATCTTTGTTGGCGAGCCACAAATCTTCGAGGGTATATCGATGAGGACAGTTTCTGCATGTCAGAATATGTTCCATATTTTGTGTTTCTCTACAATTACAGTTCACATCATCTTGGTCAACTTTTCCCCATTTTACCATGTTTGATTTTATTAGAGCGACCCCGTTCTTATCCTATTCATAGTTTTCCACGTTTTAAAGTCTAGGGACTGGCCGGTCCATTAAACCTGGGGAAGAGAAAAATACTCAGGCGGTTCATCCTGAACTATTCCAAGAAAGCTTTTCCTAGATTTTATTCGCTTTCATGCTTGTTGGATAGCACAAATTTGACGAAATGCCCCTAATGATGCTGTAGAAAGCGAAAGTACTTGGTCAAGATTTGATTATTAAATTTGTGCTCGATATTTGCCTTAATTTTTCAAAGTTAATTATTAATAATTGTTTATTTCGAATGTATTTAATATATGTTTAACCTCAAATTGGGAGGTCCAAAACTATCAGATGAAGGCGGTAGGTGTCGCGTCAGTCACGCACGGAGCGAATACAATATCTGAGCCAAGTTACTTAAATGTCAAAATAATGTTACCACCCTGCGCCAATTTCTAAATATTTACATGTTTATTAATAATTTTTTTAAAACGTCATTTTTAAAAACGTCAAAATAGAAATCGAAACATCAAAACAAATGTAAGATGTAATTCTGATTACAATCAATTGTGGTTTAGTCCCATATAAAATAATATACATTAATAACTCCCAAACAATTAAATTTCACAATATATCTCTGTTATAAATTGCTATATACTTCTAAAACTCACTTTATGTTTTGTTTTTAGATGTCACTTACTAAAATTATGACAGACATGTTTTCGCAAATGCCTCCACTTGAAAGGATGGACAGAGAATCCGGTGAACCGGTAGGACATGGTGAAACGTGCTCGAAAGATTTTTTAGAATTAGATAATGTTAGGGTATATCCTTGTAGTTTAGCTTTTGCTGGTGCGTATGACGGCAAGGTATTTCTGGAAAAGTTTCAAATTATCAACGTGGGAAAGATTCCCGCGTTCGTGAGAGTTATGCCGCCGACATCCAAGGTTTGTTGTAGATAAATGCTTTTATAAAAATAATGGTGAATATGACTGGATTTCTGTCTTTAGAGTTTGTCCGGGATCTATCAGATACTATGATGAGCCTTAATATGAATTAAATCTATAAATTTATTTATTTAATCCAATTACAACATAAATTTTGTTTTTGACAAGGCAAAATAATATTTTTTTTTTATTTAATAAAACTCCAACAGGAATCTTATGATTATTACTATCTGATCATTCACTATGATCAATAAGCAAGTTAGTTTTATATACAAATATTATAAAAAACTTATCTAAGGTTATATTCAGCAATATTCCTTAGGCTCTAATACATTATAGTACTACTAGCTAACGTGTACACTTTAGCCGCACTTTGTTCTGCTTTTTCACTTTCACTTACTTATAGCACTAACTCAAACGGCTTTGTTATCTTATCTGGTTGGCGTTGTCTAGGAGTTTGATGTCCTCGACATTCACGTGGTTGGAGAGCCTTTGTTCATGACTTTCGGCAAACTTACTTATTGAGTAATTGAGGTCTCGATGAAGATCACAGTTTCTGAAGTACCATGGAGCGTTAACGATGTTCCTTAATACTTTATTCTGATATCGTTGTATATGTTGGATGTTACTTTCTTTTGTATAGTCCCATAGCTGTTTTACGTATGTCCATTACGGTTTAAGGACTTGCTTATACAATAACAATTTGTTATAAGTAGACAGAGTGGATTTTTTTCCCATCAACCAGTACATCTTTCTGAACTTAATTTCTAATTCCTTTTTTTTCTCAATATGTGCTTTCCAGCGTAGCTTGGAATCTAATGTCATATTCAAATATTTTGCTGTATTTGCATAAGGTATTTGGTTTCTATTTATACTAACTGGGATATGTTGTTCTCTTTTGTTAGTAAAATTGACATGAACAGATTTTGTTTCATTCCATTTGATACGCCATCGGCTGGTCCAGATGTTAATTTGTTCAACAGAGTTCTGTAGCATGGTAGCTGCATCCTCGTGGTTTTTTCCGACTGCTAGAATGCATGTGTCATCTGCAAATGTCGCAATTGTGTTAGGCTCTAATGATGGAATATCGCTGGTATAGAGCAGGTATAGCACTGGCCCCAGGACACTTCCTTGTGGAACTCCAGATTTAACTTCTCTTAATTCTGAATATGCTTCCTTATATTTAACTCGAAAGTATCTGTCGGATATATATGATTTTAGTAGTTCAGAATATTGTTTTGGTAAGTAGCATCTCATTTTATGATATAATCCGTCATGCCATACCTTGTCAAAAGCCTGCGCTACATCTCCCAAACTGATGATTAGAAATTAGATTTTTTTCCTCTATAATCTGTTTTAGTCTCTTCAGGAGTAATTTTTCGTATACTTTAGATATGACAGGTAACAGTGAAATAGGCCTATATGAAGAAGCTTCTTGTGGAGTTTTTCCTGGTTTTAGTGTCATTATAATTTCTGCCACCTTCCATATCTTTGGTACGTACCTCAGCCTAAAGGAAGCGTTTATAAGCTGTGTTAATTTTATAATAGGTTTCCTTGGGAGTTGCTTTAACACTTCCCCAGTAATTAGATCAAATCCAGGAGCTTTCTTTGATTTAATTTTTTTTATTTCCAAATATACTTTTTTTGGAGTTACAAGACTAATCTCAATTTCATCTTGATCAGGAAGCTCCCAGTTTATTATTTCTTGTTCATTATTTGGTTGAAAAGCAGGTATTGTCGAGTGGAGACCAAGACAAGAAGCAATACGGAGCAGAGGACGCTTACCAAGTAGATGAACCGACAACCTGAAATATGTTAACAATAATTGTATGCAAGCCGCACAAGACAGAGATATATGGAAAGAGCTAAGGGAGACCTATGTGCAGCAGTGGATGCATACAGGTTGATGATGATAAATATAAATATGCAAAGAATACAAAAGTTACAATCTAAATTCATTCGTGATGAATTTACCAAAATATGCTATTTGTCATGACCTGAATGATGAAACTGTTAAATAAGCAACATTCACTCAGTCTACAAACTAGTTCAAGAGATCATTTTATCCAAATCCACTCGCTAACGACCTCCTGATTTCACCACTGCTTAGAGCACTAGAGAACAGATTAGACCCTATAGGTCTCCCCACCGTAGAAACTATATAAAAGTAACTTATTTGTATGAAAGTCAGAAATTTGGTAATTTAAACTCTTCTTCTTCTTCTTCTTAAAGTTCCATCTTCTAACGAAGGTTGGATATCAACATAGCAATTCTTACTTTACTTACAGCAGCTCTAAATAGTTGGCTAGAGCTCAGACTAAACCATTCCCTTAGATTTCGTAGCCAGGAGGTTCGTCTTCTTCCTACATCTCTTTTACCTTTTATTTTGCCCTCTATCATCAAACGTAGTAGCCCATAACGAGGACCTCTTAATATATGACCGAAATATTCAAGTTTCCGCCTCTTAATTGTCTGTACAATTTCTTCCCTCTTATTAACCCTATCAAGGACTTCAATATTGGTAATTTTGTCTACCCATGCTATTCGTAGCATCCTTCGATAACACCAACGCTCAAAAGCTTCCAATTTCTTAATCTCCAGTTGTTTCAATGTCCATGCCTCAGATCCGTAGAGCAAAGTTGTAAAAATGTAGCAGCGCAATAACCTTATCCTTAGATCCATTCTTAGGTCTCTACTACACAATAGATGTTTCATTTTTACAAATTTTGCCCTTGCTATTTCTATACGGCTTTTAATCTCTTGCGTTTGTTCTGCGTTTTGACTAACCAATGTTCCTAGATATTTGTATTTGTCTACCCTTTCTATCTGGATATTATTAATATGGAGTGTCTCGTTGTCTTTTGGATGTTTTGTAATGACCATGAATTTTGTTTTCTTTAAGTTCATTTTAATACCATATATGGTACACTTTTCATTCAGCCGTTCCAGTATGTTTGTTAGACCTTGCAGAGTTGAAGTGAATATGACAGTATCATCGGCATATCTTATATTATTAATAATTTCACCATTTATTATCATTCCATCGTTACACTCTCCTAAAGCTTCTTGGAAAATGGCTTCGCTATATATATTAAACAGCAGTGGTGACAATACACAGCCCTGTCTCACACCCCGAAGAATTTCTATTTCTTCCGACATTTGATTTTCAATTCTTATTTTGACTTTCTGGTTCCAGTAGAGGTTCGAGATTACTCTGATGTCGCGGCTATCGATGTTTTTCATTTTTAAAATATTAATTAGTTTATTGTGCTGTACCTTGTCAAATGCTTTTTCAAAATCAATAAAACATGTATACATGTCATTTATACCGAACAATGCTTCCCTGGTTCCCGTGCCGTTTCTAAAGCCTAACTGACTATCACTAATTTCATCATCCAGCTTTCTGTAAATTCTGTTGTGGACTATTCGTAGAAATACTTTCAAAACATGGCTCATTAATGCAATTGTACGGTGTTCTGAGCATTCTTTTGCATTTTGCTTTTTGGGAATAATTACGAATGTGGATACTAACTACTCCTTTGGTAAAATACCTGTTTGATAAATATGATCATAAAGTTCTACTAGAATGTCTATCATTTCATCATCGATCAGTTTAAGAAACTCAATCGGGATTTCATCCGGACCTGTGGCCTTTTTCCCTTTTATCTGTTTTAATGCGTATTGAACTTCCTGTTTTAAATAATTAAAACTAATAGTAGGTAAAGGGTACTCAACACAGGGTGTCCTCCCCAGTGTGTCATTTTTTCTATCTCTTTTATACAACAATAAATTGTTTATAACAACAAATTACAATATTACAACATAGTTACAATTACATTACAACAAATTGTTTATTGTTATAATGATGACATATTGCAATAAATAAAGGAAGATAAAAAGTTTATAGATTAGCTAAAAAACAAAATAAAATGGGAAAAATATTTTAATCGATTCTAAGTTAATTCAAGTTTTTTCGAAATTTATGTTAAAATCACCAATATAATATTCTTTGTAAATATTTTTTATTAAGCAAAATATTACCAACTTGTCAAATATGCTCAAAAAAAAACTTTACAAAACTTTATAATTAACGTTTTGTATCTATTTATTGTATTTGTTTTTTATTTGTTATATTTTGTATTTGTTTAATATCTGAAAAACTGGAAATTGTATTTTCGCTAAAAATTATAATAGTACAAAACATTTCATACTGTGACTAGACAACAAACTTGTAAACAATAAGGACAGGAAATTGATGGCTTCTAAATGCTTAATTCTGGGAAATTTGGGAACAATAATTAACTCCACAAATGATTACAATCAGGAGATCAAAATAAGAATAGAAAAGGCTAGAGAAATTTCAACAAAATGAGAAGAGTGCTATGTACCAGGGATTTAAAACTGGAACTAAGAGTTAGGTTGGCGAGGTGCTATGTTTTTTCGACTTTATTTTATGGAATATAATTTTGGACCTTGAATGCAACATCAATAAAAAAACTGGAATAATTCGAGCTGTGGATGTACAGAAGAATATTAAAAGTATCGTGGACAGAACACGTCACAAACAAAGAAGTTCTCTGTAGAATGAATAAAGAAATGAAAATTTTAAATACAGTAAAAACCAAAAAATTAGAATATCTCGAACATATTACACGTGGAGAGAAATACACCCTGCTCCAATTGATTATGCAGGGAAAGATACAAGGAAAGATAAGCATACGGAGGCGTAGAATGTCATGGCTGCGCAACCTGAGAGAGTGGTACGGATGTACATCAAATGAACGGTTCAGAGCAGCCGTTTCAAAAGTCCGAATAGCTATGATGATTGCCGACCTCCGCCGCGGAGATGGCACTTGAAGAAGAAATGCTTAATTATTCTTGATTTTAGATCTCATAATTAAATCATGAATGTGTTGCTTGTGTGAGTCCATTTCAAATAGGTAAAGAAATAATAAATAAGACTTACTCACAATCAATTTAATTTAACTATCAGACGACCG